CCCGAAGAGAGGTAGAGGGAATGGAGCTGTGCAGGGGTTTCTGTCCTCTCCAGAGCTCAGACATTCTGCATTTACAAGGTCTGTTTTTCCCCAACACATTTTACATTAATTCTGGCTGCCCTTTTTAATTTTTTTAACTGAGTGAGGTTTAATAAGCACTTACAAAACTCGCCTTTGGAGTATATAAAAAAATTGGCCTCCTGGGCAGCTCTRTGCTTCCAGAGAGTACAGCGGATTGTTTTTGTTTGCAAGTCTTCAGTGCAAGGCTGTCAGTGCCAGCAGTAACTGCAAGTGGCAGGTATTTCTCACACTTATTTTACAGGGACCTCACTCTTTCCCATCTCCTGTAGTGGGTAAAACTCAGCTCTTCCAGAAAAAAGAGAGAGGCAAGTAAAGCTCCTCAGCACCCCACTCCTGCATTTAGCAAGAAAGGCAGCTTCTCTCTCCCTACATAAGCACAGCCTTAGCCCCTGCTTCACCTACRAGTGAAGACTGAGAGAAGAGCATGTCGCAAGCTAAGTGAGAGGGGTCTTTTCTACTCTGCAGTTAAAATAAGAAGGAAAACCACAGTGGGTGACTCTCAGAAGCTAATCTGAGTAGGACTTAGTTAAGGACTGTGCACGGAAACCTCTGGCAAACAGGAGACAACAGGGGAAGCTCAGACTCTCAYTTGAGAAGCATCTGAAGTCGCACAGCTCTCATGGGGTTTGCCTTTGATACTCAGAGCCTGGAGTCCCCAGGTCCCCGAAGGAGTGTCCATGTTAATCAGAGAGTAAGGTGAAGCCTTCCCTAGCAAATAAGCAATGCAATTATAAAGCCAGTCAATAGTGTAACGCCAGCCAACGTGTTCCAGCGATATTTTGAAACTGTAATCTGATCCTACTGTTTCCATCCTCGTGCCTTGCCTGCTCTCCCTTGTTGCATACTGTACTATTTGAGGCCCAGAGGGCAAAGCGAGCTCTYGCTGTTTGTTCATGATCAGAAACTGCATTTGGAGCGAGAGCTCTGTGTGCGCCGCCCACACCACTTTCTTGAGAGTTTCTTAAACTCGCCGCCCGGCCGGAGCCCTGCTAGAAGGATCTCTGCAAAACAACCAAAAACACCAACTCCACTTCTGCCTTCAGTTTCCAGCTCCTTTCCACCGCGCTAAAAAAAGGGCAAAGCCGCGGTCTAAGGCAATCTCTGACTCTGCAGTGTGTTAAGCCTTGCAGGAAACATATGCTTCTATTAAATTGGAAACAGTTTCTAATGCTGTCAGTTTGCTAAATGTAACATGTTCYCCTGGAAGAAGTGGAGCAGTTTTAAAGTTTTTGACTAACTGCACACATCCAAACAGAGTACGTCTGATAAAGCTGGAATGGGCTCCAATAAATATAGCTTAGAATAAATTACTGCCTCATTAAGTAATTGTTTGGAAAAAGGACAGCAGGTTTTCTAGATTACAGCCATGTTATTAAGGGTGTTTATAATATTAGGAATTCTATCAGGGTAGCAGAAGTTAATGCAAGTTTAAGTCAGAGGAGCACTTGTTAGCTCGTTAAAGCATTAAAGACYGCCCTGGCAGAACCAGAAGGTGGACAAGACCGCACAGGTTCGGTGCAGAGAAAGCCAGCAAGGCACACTGCAAACCCCTGCGAGGCTGAAGGCAAAAGCAAAAGTCCTGAGCAACTCTGACAACTCCTTTGCAGTACAAGGCAGGAGGGAGGATATACCTGTATAGCACACTTTAAAAAAAAGCACTTATTCAAAATGGGCTTTATTCACGTACGGCAAGGCAGTTGTCTTTACTGGAAAAAAAAAAATAGAACAGGTTTGACTGCCCAGCAGAACTAATGTCTGTCTCAAAGATSTCAAAGCCAAAATGTCAATTCTCACATGTTCTGCTGCAGACAGGACTTCCCGTGTGCTTCCTTACAAAACAGAGCCCAGAAGATGCAAACAAGCCCCCAACCTGCCCTTTTTTGGTCTCACCCTCGACTGGAAGCTTTAAGAAACACAGTCTGTGGTTGCCAGGCCCTTSACAGCCCTGCTGACCACCAACCACCTGCTTTGAGCCAAATCAGCTGGAGGAGTCGCCCCTTCCCACTGCCAAATCTTTACATCCTTCCCCAGAACGGCTGCACACACCCACTGCTCATAACAGTGCCCGAGCCACCACCAGGACCCTCCTCCCTGGGGCTCTGTGCTTTAAAGAGCCACCAAAAAGAGCTGGGCTGAGGCTGTTATGAAATTTGGGTTTCCATGTGGCAGTGTTAAGGAGGCAGCCAGGCCTGCCAAGTGAATCGAGTTCTGTGCTGTGAACACACGGGCTGAGCACTCTGCTGTGGGTATCAAAAGCTCACGGAGCTGCTTTACACACCTGGGCATCRGCAGCAGGAAATCAGAGCTGCAGGAAAGCAAACCAGGCACAGCACCAKGCCAGATCCTCTGACTTTACTACATGATTAACTGATTATTCAGCAGACTCTGCTTGTTGTCACCCAAAAAATATGTGAGGGCTTCTCCTGGGATCAGCCAAAAAGCTCTTCCTGCTCCACATCACCGTTTCTTCCCACAAGGACAGCACTTGGGGCCTCCTTGCTTGGAAGCTGGAGATGCTGGTCTCACAGGCAGGACCACGACACTGTGAATTCCCGTGTCAGTGGGCAAGGAGCCACACTGGAAGATCCAGAGCCATCAACTCTTCAAGAAGGTGGAGCAGAAGCAATTTAAGATGGCTGTGTGCTGCTCTGGGGCCCAATTCAGCCAAGACCGCCTTCCATCCTTTCCCACTGCAGAGCCAGCAGGTACCAGCACAGCGCAAGTGGAGTCTAAAAAGAGACACCTCGCTTGCAAATGAAATTCAAAACAATCTGAAAGAGCTAGAGCAGCCACCAGAAAGTGACACTGGCTGGGGAAACGCACACTCACTCCCTTTTCACTGCTAAAATTACACGGCTGTGATGACAAGATGCTACTGGTCAGGCTCTAAGGGAGAATGATGAAACAGCCCCGTGCATCCCTCCTCCCCTGCACGGAACAATGGATCACGGCTGCATTGTACAAGACATCTCTATCGGCAYGCACGTGTCCAGGGCTGCCTGGTATTTTTAGTGTGTGTAGGGACTGAGCTTTGCAGCCCATTTCCACTGGACCCCTGTCATTCCTGCAAAGGTTAATGAGAATTGTGCRTGCACCCATGAGAGATGAGACCCCTCGGTGGATAATAAGGGAGTTTTTTCTTACCTATGTATAATTACTTTGTTTGAATCCTATCGTAGTATCTTTTYCCCCAAAGATATCTTGTTTTTCCCCCTTGTCACAGACCCTTAATAAACACACGGGGGGGAGAAGAACAAACCCCACACTACTGAAAGAACTGAATGGTTTGCCAAAAAGTAGGTTATTGCTCTGAAAACAGTGTTGAATAAATTATCACAGTCAAACTGAAAAGCAGCAAATGGCAGGAGGGAAGAAGAGGAGAAAGGAACAAAAACCTCTGAAGAAATAGATACTGCAAATGCACCATACAAATCCCAGCAATGACAAATCAGTTTCTGGCCTGCAGATTTTATTTGCTAACCAGTTTCACACTACTGAGAGTTAGGAGAAAGTAAAGGTGTTTTTCTGGCATTTTTTGAAAGTAGATGTAACAGCACATGAGTTGCTTTCAACATTTTTGCCTAAATGAAATGAACACAACCCTGCAAACAAGTATGTTCTATGAAAAAGAACCCACTCRCCCTGCAAGTTTCTCTTAAAGAGGTGAAAAAGTTGTTGGACATTTCTCCACCACCAGTGAAAAGAAAACAAAAAAAAAAGGTAGTTAAAATTTGACATGAAAGTTTGCTAAGATGGTGTTAAATGATGTTGGACAAGATGATAACTGCTGGCCTTTTAGTCCAGTGTATAAAGCTCAARCATTTGTTGAAATACAGCATGTTTCCATGTCCTACAAAGGTGCCTTCTGAAAACTGATTAAAGAAAGGGAACTTTGGCCAGCCTTGAACTATTCTCAACCTGTAATGGCTATGAGTTAGAGAAGGCAGAGATTCCATTTTTCGGGGCACCTGCTTGATTTCACAATAAAAACTACTATACCAAGATGATGTTCTTTAAAACAGCCACCATGGGATCCATGTCACTTCTACRTGGAGTAACTGAAACATTTTCAAGRAAGTCATTTAAACTTAGATGGAGACACCCTTTGAACAGCATATTCTGACAACATGGGTATTAAATCTGTATTTCGAAGCGTGCTTAGGACAGGTTAATTAACAYAGAACAAAGAAATTTAACCACAAARTAAGACTTTGGAAATTGTGAGCGGAAAATACAGAAGGAGAACAGCTCAGGAAACAGAATGTCCTAAACCTAATTTCATATTCATTCAGGCACAACCCATTCACCTCACCCAAGATAGTATTACACTGATTTTCCCCACAATTAAAAGAAAAGTCCTCGTCCAAGCACACACACACATCACGTGTGTCCCCCTGCCAGCAAGGGGAAGCAGAGCAGCGACAGGAAGGCTGACACTGTGTGTCACACACACAGAAAATATCCTCTCTCCTCTATTCATTCACCAGCTATTTGTGGAACACTTTAGTAGTTAGGGGAGGAAAGTGCAAGGAGGTTGTTTAGAAGAGCRAGTTTTGCCAAGCAGATGGCAGAGGAGGGGGCAAGGGGCAGCCAGATCCCAGGAGGGTAACCCAAGCAGGTTACTGCACCCCTGGGACAGCCAGCATGGAAATACCC